CAAAACTATTTATTATTCTTTAATTTTATAACCATATTATGGTATTAGGAAAGATATACCTTGTTGGTAAAGGCTTTTAATTAGTTAATTCGTTTATTAATAACTTGCCTTATTTTATTATCAATTACTTGCGCAAGTTGAAATTATGTTTACCTTATTTTGCCATCAGTTACTTGTCTTAAATGGTTTTATACATTTTCTCAACTTTGTACTCAAATATGATTTTATACAATTTATCATATTATAAATGTATATCCTATAAATTCATATATGTAAACTATATATTTCTTTTTTGTCATCTTTTTTTGGTCATCTTTGTTTTTTGTCATCTTTTTTTTTGTCATCAAAAACTATATAGTTCTATGTCAATTATAATTTAACTTTATACAATTTATCACATAATAAATTATGTATATAATTCAGAGTTAGAATATGATATGTGTAACATTTTTGTATATATTTCTAATACTAATGTTATAATTAAATCGGTTAAATACAAATTTCTCTATTAAATATAAGTGATAAAACATAATTATTATATATTTCTATAGATTTAAAATATATCAAAATCAAAACNTTCAAATAATTATTTGCTTATACACTAAAGAAAAAAATCTTTAATCAATATTTTACTATTAAAGTTAGTATAACTTTTTATACATTTTATCAACTTTGTACTCAAATATGATTTTATACAATTTATCATATTATAAAATGTATATCCTATAAATTCATATATGTAAACTATATATTTCTTTTTTTGTTATCTTTTTTTTGTCATCATAAACTATATAGTTCTATGTCAATTATAATATAACTTTATACAATTTATCACATAATAAATTATGTATATAATTCAGAGTTAGGATATGATATGTGTAACATTTTTGAATATATTTCTAATACTAATGTTAGAATTAAATCGGTTAAATACAAATTTCTATAATAAATATAAGTGATAAAACGTAATTATTATATATTTCTATAGATTTACAATATATCAAAATCAAAATTATTTATTATTCTTTAATTTTATAACCATATTATGGTATTAGGAAAGATATACCTTGTTGGTAAAGGCTTTTAATTAGTTAATTCGTTTATTAATAACTTGCCTTATTTTATTATCAATTACTTGCGCAAGTT